GGGTGGGTGGATGGATGGGTGGATAGAGATAAACATGCTAGAGACAAGGATGATAGATCAAGCAGAAGCTCCATGAAGCAACAACCTTGGCTCTTTTGTTCACTGTTTTATCCCAGACTGGTAGACAGTAAGCTCTCAACAAGTTCCGACTGACGGTGTTCACTTGTTCTCTCGGTGTAAATATTCTCTCAGTGTAAATACATCATAGCCACCAACCTCGTGAACCCAAACATGGACTTGGGAAGAGATGAACAAGGCTGCCCCCCCTGGCTGGTCTGAGGCAGAGCCGCACACCCCTGAGAGGAACCCAGGTGGTGTCAGGAGGGACTGGGCAGGGAGGGGCTTTAGGGAGAAGGCACTGTCTGGCACCTTTGAGAAAAGAACTGGGGGATTTAGGCTGTGTAGGCAGCAGGAGGCACTGAGCAAAGGCTTAGAAGTGCAAAAGTGGCAAAATGGGTTGAAGCACAGCACTGTGCCGCTAGCAGCTGCTTCGGTGTGAGTTCAATCCCTGGCCCTGAAGCTGACCCACGTGGCACAGCAAACCCCTCCTGACCCACCCGCTGCTCCCCACAGCAGTGTACTTCATCAACCTGCCTGTTCTGTGCCCCACTGTCTCTGGTGAATCCTCTATCCAGAACCTCTGGCCTGTACCCCAGTTCTGTATGCATTTTTTTAAAGAAATGCAAAGGAATGTCAAGCTCAGGAGGTGGGGAAAGGAAATCCTTGCCCCCCCACACCCAGCCAGAGTGGCTGATGCCCCCCCCCCACGAGGCAGGAGGATAGACAGCAACACCCTCCCACAGAGGCCATGTTCTCCTGGCCCAGCCCTCTCCCCGGTGCAGGGACACCCACTGGACACATGATGTGAAGGTGTAGAGCGGACCGGTACTGAATTTTGCTGGAAGGAACCTAGGTCAAGAGGCCAGAAACTCTTAGCAAACTGGCCTGGGGGTGCCTAGGCAGCATCCTCGTGGGCCATCCCATCACAGAAACGTGACCCTTGCTGGGCAGGCTCAGCTGTCAGGACGGACCAGGATGCTCTCCCGTCCTGGCCCCTGCACCTGTGTGCAGAGCCCTGGAGGTGCTAGAGAGAACCAAGAGTACATCCCCAGGACTTTTAAGGCACCTGGTATGGAAGTCACTCTGCTGTTGTCCTGCCTCCACATGTCATGGGCATTCAGCCAAGGCCGGCTGGTGAGCATCCGCAGGGGGCCCCTCACCCTCCTTGCCAAGTCCCGTTCCACCGTGTCAGGTCTTCGCTCAGGGGTCCTGCACCAGGCCCTTGCTCGGGACCGCAGCGAGCTGCTGACCTCACCTGTCCCTTGCAGTTGCAGTCATTATGCTCTCCACACACCTTCCCCCATCAGGCCCGAGTGGGAATGCCAGTGAGCCCACTGACCAGGTTCCAACTGCAGGATTTTCCATCCTGGGTGGTGCCCTCCATCATGAGCTGGGCACCCCGGGCAGGCCTGCTGCTCCGGCAACTGTGAGACCAGAGGTTAACATGCTTACAGTGCTAAAGGCGGTGTCTGGCACATTGTAAGCAGCCAGAAAGTGTGGTTCTGTCATCATTTCTATGGACAAGTCACCCTCACCCCAGACAACTTTTGCTGGTCACAACCTTAACTGACAAGGAACTACAGACATCTGGAGACAGGTGAACCAGCAGCGAAGGGAGCTGCTGGGCGCTGGTGCCACCTACTGGTGATGGCTGGAACTCGGCAAGTGCAGCTGAGAGAGCCGCCTCTGCTCAGGGTCCAGGACCTGCGAGATCGGGAGGCTTCTACATGTGATGCGACTGTGGCGAGGACGACACGGTGGGCTGCAGGTTCCTTTTAATTTAGCAAGGGCTGACTTCTTGGGTGGGCGGACCTGACTCGAGAACTGGGCGGCGCAGGGAGATCACAGACACGTGCACACACGCACCCCGGACATTCACATACACACTGCACACACTCACACACCTACCACCTGCATACACATCTGGAACGCCCTGGCACAGTGGGACAAGTTGCTGAGGGAGGTGTCACGAGGGGCAGTCAGAGGACAGAGATGGTTCTCAGCAGGGGGTTGTGAGCAAAGTGAGACAGGGTGGGTGGACGGGGACTGGGAGGCAGCTGGCGGTAGTGTCGCAGGTTTGGGGTTGTCCCCCACACTCCTAGGGGTACAGGAGGCAAGTTCAGCATGGTGGGCAAGAAAAGGGGTAACCCCGGACATCAGCAATGGAGGCTCCATCTAGTTAGGAGGCAGCTGTGTGTTCCGACATGGGTCTTGGGGTACCCCCAGGGGTACAGCACATGCTCTATCAATGGACCTGCTTCTATAAAATCATATCCCAGGTTCACATGGCGGGTGTGTGTCTGTATAAATTCTAAGTAAGTGCAAAGAAAAAGATCTGGGAGCTGAAGGAAACTGGAGGCTTAAGTCCCAGCTGCAATTTTTAACGGCTTACATAGAAACAAGAAACAAGTTAAGGTAAGACAAGGCGTAAACAAGTCCGTATGGGGAGGACCTGAGTGCACAGAGCCAGGCCCTCCTCGTGCTTATTTGTTTAGAATGTTATCGCTAAATGTGAACTCCGTATCCCAGGGACTAGCATCTCAGTCTTCCAGTCCCTCCCACTCCCTCACATTTAATCCAAGGCCTCTTCCTAGCACTTGTTCCTGCACAGCTGTTCCTGCACGGCTCCCAACGGCATCTGTGCTCCGTTTCTGGTCTCTGGGGGGTCCTGAAGTCCTTGGGGCAGAGCTAGCCCAAGGGTGAATGATGGATGGATGACGGTGGGTGGATGGATGGGTGCGTAGGTGAGGGTGTACATGGATGGGGCAAGGATGGGTGGACAGACCGGTAGGCGGATGGGCAGGTGAAGGGCGAGAAGGGAGAACGGGACACACTGGCCCAGACAGCCACAGGCACGCAGCAAGCGCCCCATCACCCACCCTGAGGACGGCACGCGCCCGAGTCCCGGCCCTCCACCGCAGGCACAACTGTCCTCAGCAAGGAGGCGCGGACGTGAGCTTGCTCCACGCCACGGGGCACCTGCACGCGTGTCCCCCAGCTCAGCCTCCTGCGAGCAAGTCTATCCCCATTTTCAAATGAGAAAACGATGGCACTGAGCTGTGAAAGCCAAGGTGGATCCCCAAACCTGCCTTCTTTCCACCACACGTAATGAGGATTTAAAAAGGCACTTGTGTTTATAAAGCAGATCACATTCATTTTTCTACTTGATCTCATCAAAAAATACCCCTAGGCCCACTGAGGTCTTCCTGGGAACATCCATTCCTGCCAGTTCTGCAGTTAAAAGCAAGGGATCTCCCAGAGGAGCAAAGATTCTTTAAGAAACACAAGACGAAATGAAGTTTACGTCACTTTAATTAAAAAATAAATACATGCCAGGAGACTATTTTTTTTTTAGTGAGGGAAAAGACTGACAGAACAAAACCAACTAACCTCAAGCCTCCGGGACTCCTCGCTCCTGCTGGGGGCTGTCACGCTGCTAAGGGCCTGCCGGCTCCCGGGTGGCTCAGTCCTAGCCTGGGGTCAGCGTGTCGCCGAGGAGGCCCCTGGCCTAGGGGCAGAGCCCACTGTGACACCCACCCACCAAGCCTGGCCTCTCAAGGCACGTGGGCTTCGGGGAGCACAGGGCGACTGAGCAGTGGCGGAGTGAGCAGACCCCAGAGCCCAGAGCGCCGCCGGGCCGGCCGGCTGTGAAATACTGGGGTCCCAGAAGGCTCTTCCTCCCCAGACGGTCCCGGCCCCAGCGGCGGCCACACTGGGCCTTGGAGGACAGCCCAGTAGGGCCTCTGGACCTCA